GTTATTGTGTTAATAATTACTTCTGCTGCTGAAATGGCAGCATTGGGCTAGTATACTCCCCAGGGAGCTGAGATGGTCTCAGGAATGCTCAGATGCTGTATTGGTATCACCGAATGACAGATACTTAGAATACTGTAGGACATTTTAAGATGATGTTAAAAGTATTAAGCTGTCATCCCGTTAGTATGTGTTTGGTCCATTCTCACAGTCGGCGTGATGTCACTATGGACTCTTAACACACAGCAAAGGGGCAAATTTACCCTTTGTGCTATTCAATAATGTACAGAAGTTCCCGGATGTCCGATTGCAAGAATTCCATATCCACTTTTCACTCCTTTACATTATTAACGGAAATGCTCCATAAATTAACGCAAATGGACACAAAGTCCACTAAAAATACATTTATGGAGAGGCACCCTCGTGTAGTAGTCCATCAAAGAGGAATCCACTTACTAGAAATTTTCCATACGGCTTGGGATGGTAAACTCCGTTGAAAGAGCATGGCTCTATCGGACAAGGCGCCGTGAAATTGAACAACTTTGCCACGGCCGTTCTGCAGCTGTCCAAATCACTCGTCCCACTCAGGTTAAAGGAGGTGATGTTGACGGCGTTGGGAGAAGGCAAGACCTCTGAACCCCAGCCCGCTAGGGCCTGGGGGCCCTTACTGCAGGGGGCTTCCCAAAGGTACTTCCCATCGACGGTCTCCCTGAAGCCCTTCGGAGCGCAGGGGTTGACAGTCATTTTGGCATACCCTGAATCCTGGTGGAAAAAGTTCTAAGTCATGAAGACATGATAGGATAATCATCTAAAGAGGCTTGATGTATTGAAGTAGATTTCAACGGGGGGAAGAGACAGTAATTACCAAAGCACAATTTTATGAAACTTGCTAAGCAGGAAAGATGACTTTTAATGGTTATATGCTCAATAGGAACATCAGTTCAGAATAAAGTCACTGGCATTGCACATCCCATTGTGACCAGTAATCTATTGTTTGCTCAGTGTTTCCTGCACTTTGGAGCTTCCACACAACCAGGCCCAGTGGGTCAACTCAGGTTGCATAGTGTTCAAATTGGTGAATAATAAAAATTTTGCCAAAGCATGAACAGGTTTCCAGGCAAACTACTGTTAGAGAGTTGGATAGTTCTCCGCTAACTTTTGCCTCTATTTTCTTGACGGCTAATGTGACACTGGTCTCACCAGAGGCCTTTACCGAGCAAAATAACCTCCCAGGAGCATAGATTGCAGCTGTGAATGAGGCACACTTGGAATATGCCAACCAAATGTATAAAGACAAACAGCAAACACAATTTTGTTTACTTTGACCAAGTTGGCCTTGAATCTACGGATAGCCTCGTTCACTCCATAGCACAGGTAACTGTGGGTGTACAGGGTGTAGTTGACTCCGTACAGTCTCAGGTTCTCTGAGTACTGAGGGGGCAAGGAGGAAGGGTCCTCAGGAATGAATGTGATCTGCGTTGATGCCCCGCCCATATCCAAGGCTCCGACTGTGGGCAGTGGGTCGGCGGAGAGTGCAGACACAATAGCACTTGACAGCGTTGAGCCCTAGAAGAAAAATATTAGGGTCTGGGATAAGTTGATCGAAACTTTTATCCGTGGATACTTTGAGGACAGAAAAAAGAGGGTACATCAAGCTAGAAAAGGGGGAAGGAATGTGAGGTATAGCGTCAACAATCAGCATCATTTTTCTTGGTACTGCCCCCGCCGTTTAAACTTTTTTTCCTTGAATGGCCATTCATATGACGATCACACATTAATTAAGCAATGTTTAGTTGCATGCATGACATGTTATACATGACCCCTTCAGTCAATTTTTCGAATGATACCATTTCATTTGTACTTCCTAATCAAATCTACATGCAGACACTGTAACCGGAGGGGGATAAGTTCCACGTGATGGCTGGAGTACAAAACATGCGTGAGACTGCAGTGTAAAACTCACCGGATTGAGCGTGCCCGACAGGAAGTTTGCCGAGACCCAGCCGTAGCTGCCCTCATCCGAGCCTGAGATGATGGTGGCCTGGTTGGCTGTGAAGTTGAAGGGGTAGGTGGCCATGGTCTGGCGCACAGACTCCATGATGAGCGTGCTGGTGCTGGGCTCCGTTTTTCTGCGAGTAAAAGAAAAGGAAAAAAAAGACCGAGCCTTTTCATTCGAGTTTGGCATTTCTCTCGTGGGCTCCATACAGATAGAAGCCTTCTACCGCCTTTCTGTAGAAGCAAAGCTGATAATAATGCTAGCATGCTGCATAGCACGATGTGCATCAATGCTCCTCAGGTATTCCCACACAACACAATGAACTTAAATACAACACATGTCATAGAATCATTTTGCATGAGAGTAATCCTAAAGTAACTCAAGCAAGAATATATAGTCACATTCAAAGCAATACACTTCAATACAATTTTGGCTGTTTCGCTTCTACTCTGATCCAATATTTTGACAAATATCACCAAATGTATGCTACAATTTTGAAATGTGGGCAATCTTTTGGGTTTCATAGTTTTTCAAGGAGGTGTTTATATTTTTCATATTTTTTATTTGAACATTATCCATAGCAAATAAAGAGCTGATCAAAGATTATATGTACTCCAAAATGTTGACATTTTTGGTACCTCCTCAGATGATTTTTGGCCTTTACTTCCTCCAATGGCAGACTTCAATAAACTTGGTGAATAATTATAACAATGTAAAGTAATATCCAAGAGATGTAAATGATACAAAAAACTAGGCTGAATGTTTCGTACCCTTTCCAGTAATGTAATTATCTTTAAAAAAGACAATTTTGACAACAGATATTGATTTTGGAGAGCACAATTAGGATAGTCCCTTGCCAGGTTAGTTTTTTTAATCAAAAACCTAGGATTCAAAAAGCTTCAAAGCCTTGTAACCGGAAACCCATAAGAATTTCTTACTCTAAGAGCCTCATTCCGGCTGTCGCCCCAAGGTGCAAGGAGGTGAAATTGTAGTACTGCTCTGGCACAACTTGCTTGGTGTAATCCAGGCAGCTGATGAGGGAGGGGCCTGCATCCTGTGGGTTGTCATCATAGCTGGAGATACCCCCTCCTGCGGACATCAGAGAGAAAGAAATCATGAAGGAAAAAGAAATGTGCGATTTATAAAAGCAACCTAGGTTCCTAGTTTTGGTGGTATTTGTTTCAACCTGTCTGGAAATTGTCAGTAAAGTACAGATGACACTTTCCAGATGTACTAAAATCGACATGCTTAAAGACACGCCCATTCCGATTCCACTGGCTGAATTTGAACCTTGGAGCTATATTGAACTACTAGAGCACTCACTGCCTGTGCAAAGTGAAGCCCATTGTGTGCATCCATGTTAATGCACAAAATGTACGGAAAACTCATAATTTTTGCTGGGTGTTTGTGTGGCTACATGCATCTGTATTCTAAACTAAGAAAGCCGATATGCCCAAAAGCTACATGTGACCCACTCTGCAAAAAGGTGTATTAAATCGCGCAATGCAAAAATGCCTAATGGCCCATTCCATGTGCCGAGGGTGAAACTATATTGAGGCCAACTGCTTGCCCAGAAAACCCCTATTTAAGTTTAATGTTTCTGTTCATTATGTTTAAAGGGCATCATCTCAAAAAGTACATGTGATAAAATGAAATTATATGCAAATGGCAAATAACTCCAAAACCCAAAATGCCACTGGGATGAATTATATACCAAATGAAAGTTTAGTGTGACATAATAAACCTTTTTGGAGAGCCAGTCACCAATGCACAATCAGTATATGTGCGTATAATTTTGCCCAGTGTAAACAACACACACGCATGTGCCACACATTGCAGGTGAATTTTATTGAGGCTTTTAAAAGCACCATATTAATGATAGAGAAAGGGCTACATATTATTCACGTATGCTGCACATGTGCATTGAATTTCCAGAGAATATCATTTAGAATTCATTCCATCTTATTTCATTACGTTCCACAAATTACATGCAGGAATTTGAAATGTCTGTGCTAAAGAAATATCAAAACTTCTCCACGTGCCTGGGATTGACAAGTCAACACTCCAGTAATTCAGTACAGCTCTATGATTCGCATCCACTACCTGCAACAAATATTCTTTTATACCACCACCTGAAAGACACATTCTGTTTCAGCCAGGCCAGTCTCTGTCGGCAAAGTAAGTTTTCATGTTTGTGTACTGCACAGAATGTGCTTGTCATGCAGTTTCGACTGGCACTGGTCTGGTTGTATCAAAACGTAAGACAAACTTTCACTTTCGGCCTCTTGCTCAGACTTTGGTATGCATGTAAAATAAACACATGTACGAAGCAGTAATGCCTCACGTGGACCTGGTAGCTAACAAGATATGGTGTGGGTAGTGCTGACCTTGTGTGAGCTTTTCTGTGTAAAGCGGCCACACCGTTGCAAATCTCTGCAAAATCTATTGAGGTATTGAAGCATCCAATGGGAGCCCAGGGTTTACGGCTGCTCCTAGTGCTAGGCCGCAAATGATCTCAGCGGGCTAAGGTGAAGACTAGCACACACTTGTATGGGAAGTGACTGCTGCAGCCAGTGGCTTCCTTTAGGACCATGCTTTATGTCCAAACAGAGCCACTATTTTCGGACAGTCTTACTCATCTTTTTTTTTTCTCCAAAAAGATCCAAGAAAGTACATGTTGCCCTGGATAAATTCAGACCAGAGTCCTCTTACTGCCAGTGCTTTGGCAGTCAGACTCAAACACTTTTAAGTACTCACATTAGTACTCACGGTAAGGCATTGATACTCATGCTCACGGAGAAGTATAGCCCTGTATTCATTGGAGTGCTCATAGAAATGTAATAGCACCAACAGCACTATTTGACCCTGTGCTGGCAAGTTTCAGCACTAGTGGCTGAAAGCCATATATGCGCTACATGTATGCGGCCAGGGAAGATAGCCATAGTCTTGATGGAAGCAGCATCAGTAAGGCTGGAGACATGGGGAGTTGTCATTCTGGAGGTTGCAGACAAGATAGGGGAAATCTCAGTCATCCACTTCAGGCTTCCATCTCATGAACAAATTCCCCCGAATTAAGAGCCTGTGACTTAATAAAGCTCAATGATCCTCTGGACATAAATATCACACTGTCTAAAACGAGGCCGGAGTTTGGATAATTTTTACCGTGGTTCCAACAGTAAATACCTGAAACTGACTGAGGAGCTCAAGATGAGGCCAACGACTGAAAGAAGTGAGGCCTCGGCATACTACCAACTAGATTAGCTGTGAATCACAGGGCAAACTGACCTGGTGACCGGCACGTTCCTTCTTGTCTGACCACTCCCGTCCCCTCGGTCCTGGAATCTCCCAGCCAACTGTAAATGGTGAGGTTGGTATGGGAAGAGCCGGCATCAAATACGGCACCATACTGAAAGAGAAGAACACCGCAACAAAAACTTAGACTTTGTTTAAGGAACTACGGCGGAAAAGAATGATCACAGTATACTTGTTTTTTGGGGGAAGAAGGGGTTGTCAGTTCCTGCTGCGACAATTAGTGTTGTAGACGTGACCTCTTAAGACCTTCACAAGATCCCACAAGACCAACATGAGCCCTCCAGTCTGAATTCAAGTCACAAGTTATTTACATGGACTGCAACAAGAGCATTCCTTTGTCACTGTTAACTCTGTGATGCTATGGGCATATCTGACTTGTCCAAGAACTACACAAGCAATAAATACAAACACACCAACCAAAATTAATCAGATTTGGTAGAGCCTATTATAATCACAGATCCTAAATCGAGTCTTTTTTTTGTCCGTTTCTCTCACTCACTCCTTCGTCGGAGCATATTTCCTCGGTGAACCTCATGGCCAGAGCAATAATACCGCATATGCTAGCCGTGACCAGCACAAAACCCACACACACCAGGACGATACTGTACATCTGCGACCTCTCCATGCCACGCCTCACAAACACGTCCTGCTGTTCAGCATCGCCTGAAAAACAAACCAAGCGCATAACACCGACTGAGCACTCAAAGAGAGCAATTCCAGGAAATTTACAACCCCGTCCTGTCCAGCAAGTCTATGATTTGTGCACGAATAACAGTGGTAAAAACAGTCACAATATGTTCTTTTATTACTGCATTTACACTGATCATACTTCCACACAGTCTCCGCATACAAATGTTTCCGTAATTGAAATAATATATGACTGTGTGTATACCATATTTTGTCTATAAACACAGAGAGAGGACATTGCAGTAGGTCCTACAATATCAAATTCAGACTACGCACAGGCACTTATTACTGAAGACAATAGATTACCCACCAGGGACAAGGATTTGAAAGCTTCCTCTGTGTTTTATGTTCTGTCCTCTATGATAAAGTAAAAAGTCTAGCTGGATATGCGCATTTACATACTTATGCATGCTTGTTAATACCACTTACCAAGAAAGGTGCCTACTGCTAACACTTTACAGCAGCTTCGCAGAGCAGCAAATAAGCCAGTCAGCAGAATTAATTATGCTTTGAAAAGCTCCCACCCTACCAGCGTAATTTGATACACGAGAAAAAGCAAGCTCTTTGATACTAAACGTGACCATACACCCACCACATTGAGTGAATTTCACTTACAAGAAATGAAAAACAGACAACTGGTGTTGGAAGTGGTTTTCGTTAATTTGTCAAGTTCTATGAAGTACTGCATTACTGAGACTGACATGGCACATTTGGGATTGTCCTTGTTTCATGTGCCCCATTGTACACTTTTGAGAAAAAATATGTCCAAAGTAATTTTCTCATGTCATGTAGGAGCAGAGTGTTTGTAAGACCAACCTTTCATGTAGCAGTTCCAACAGTGGGGATTCAACAATAATTTTTGCAGCTGACAATTTATTGTACCAAATAAAAAAGGTTAATTAATGTATGTGAATAAACAGCGGTATTGTTACACCAATGATAAATCCTTCGCAGGTGCCTTTGTTCATGCATTTGTGTCTCGTATGATTAAAATGGGAACAACTCACATGACCTTTGCGTGGGTGCCCTGCAGGCACACAGCAGTAACAGCCTCTCAAGAGCTAACCCAGTCTACCTTGCTGTCACCAACGATGGCACTGTTTAGCACCTGGTCCTATTTCTGACAGCGCTAATTTCTGATTTTCTGATGCTAATTACCTTCTGGTTCTGAATGCGATATGAAGACAGTGTCGCCGTTATGGATTCCCGCCTCGCCTATGGTTGCACTCTTGTTCAGGATCAAACCGCTGTCGTCCTTCATCTCTATGTCGCCGGTTACGGGAATGTCTGACAGGGAAATTGTCACCAAGACAATTACAATCAATCCTATGAAAAGAATTCCCATTCATGATTCTAGGAATGGCTACTCTCCACACAGGCAGATCACATTGCACTGGAATCTCGCTAATATGCCCGACCAGTTGTGGTACCAAGTATGGCTCACCAGGAATGCCCCAAAGTGCTGAATAAATGAAGGTGCAGTAAAAAATTTGGTAGACTACTATTCAAATGACTTTGGCAAACTTGTTCTTTATCTTTTTTTCCAAATGTCAAAACTTTCTGCCAAAAATATAACTGTCCAAAAGTGGTTTAAGTCCACAAGATTTTTGACAGATTTTTGCAGTCACAGTCCAGCTATTTTAAGGCTTTAAAAACAAGTCCACATGCCCTTTAAAGTCTGGCTTCAGAAAATGTGTCGTTAGATTCTGGAACATTGAAGGCTTTTTTTTTGGGGGGGGGCCAAAGACATTTCCTAGCGAACTGATCGATGGGATTTACACGAAGGTTGCACCAATGAGTTGAACTTCCATCGCTGAGGTTGTGTGGCTGAGCACAGTGCACAAACTTGGATAGTGCCAGACAAGTGCGATGCAGAACCGAATCATGACCTTACCAATCTTTTGGCAGAACTCGACAATGACGCTCTTGATAACCCACTTTGGGTCCACCTCGATTGGCACGCTGGTCACCTGCGCTCCAATGGCGGCTCTCACCATGATCTGCATTGTGGATTCTATTTGGAAGGTGATCACCAAAATGAAGACAATACCCACAAATACAATACAGTTGGTCTTGTAGATTAATTCACAGGCACTGAAACAGAATGAAATAAAAAAATAAAACTTCATAAGTTGGCAATGCACTTAAGGCACTAGTGTGCTTTTTACCCTAACCCCAAGGGTATATGTAAAATCAGATTGAAATCGGAGGATTTGGGTCCGTTAGGGATATCGCAAAATCCATGGTTATTTTCATGGCTGGTACAACATTCAGCCTAATTATAATATTCAACATCATCAGTATGGGTACTTCCAAGAAATGTTTCCGGAGTGGAAAGGGGACCACATATCTTCTTTTTTTTTGGGGGGGGAGGTTTCGGGGGAAGGGCAAAGCACTAATCAGCTAAAAACTGATTAACAATTCACAATAGGAGGGGGTAATTTCAAGATTTGTTCCCAGTAAATTTGGTGATTTTCTTCCCGTTATGTCATACTTAATTTTTTCATTTTTCCCATTTTTATTTTTGAATTTTTTACTCCAAGGGGAAAAACCCCTCCACAATGCCAAATAATCAGAAAACATGGAATCTGGTTTTAAAAGAGATCTGTTAGTTAGAAACAGGTCTTAACAATGAGTTTAACCAACTCAATGTTTGAAATAAAACAGACCATTTACAAAAAAAATAACTGGTACAGCTTTTTAAAGGTCAATTCACATTGTACAGCAAAGTTAATTGATTTTGTTGAATCATATCAGGCTAACTTCACGACACGACACTTAACATCAGGAAATGATGTAAACTGGAATATTTGGATACTGAAATCGGCATGAAATATAAACCACACATCACTGATTTATAACAAAGAGTTGAATCATTTTGTAATTAGGGCCTGCTCTTTAATTAACATAAACCCTTTATCCATTTCCATCCTTATTCCTTAGGATTCTGCCCTTCAACAAACAGGAATAGGATGAGGATTAAAGAGAGCTCTGCCTATTTTTCACTGAAAATTTACTGCAAAGGACACGCTCTGTGTCTATTGTGGGTGCGAGTGGTGGATCAGGCGATGGCTACAGGCCTGTTAACAAGCTGCAAGGACAGTCCGCTCTGTGCAAGAACAAGAGACAGCGTGCTTCTATGCAACGATGACGGTCCTTTCGTGGGAACTCACCGTGTGCACGCACAGGTTTATGCACATCTGGCTCAGGAAGCGCAAAGCACGTGCAACAAATTTATGTTCGACAGAACATGGTCTATGCATGTGAGCTGACCTGTATCTTCTTTGCCGGTGAAGGGGCGGGGGACTCAAGTCAGTGCAGAAAGACTTCATGTCAGATCAGGAAATCTACCTCATGAGCTCATGGCATGCAGTGATGTTAAATGCGACTGATCGATCCACATGATTGACTGACAAAACACTATGCTATCACTTGTGCCCGTAAGTTGGACTTTACTTCAGCTCAGAGTCCGTAAAATTCCACACTTGCGGATGTAGTGATTGCTCATTGTTTTAATTAAGAAGTCATTCAAAGGTTAGCCCTGCAGACTGGGGCCTGTATTAGACTGCGGAACCCTTATGGTTGAACTGCATGTACTGGGCCCGTATCCTTACCAGCTCGAGGAATTGGCAGTAGTCCAGTAGACTGGCCGAGGTCTGGGGTATATTCCGACTTACCTGGACTCTACAAATCCACCATTTTTAACATTTGGACTCCCAACCATATCCATAAGCCTTCTCGCTAATACTGCATGGGTGATTTTGCACAATGTTAGAAAGGCACTGTAGGAAGGCAAAAGGGGCAATGTTTGTTCCTTTTTCCTTCCCACAATGCCTCTCTACAATTGTGCAAAATCATCCACGTGGTATTACAGTAAGCATGACATCTTAGGCCTATGACATGTTCAAATGTTTAAAAAGGCCATTCACAGACATGATAGAGTCCAAGTTGAAAAGAATTCCACATAGGTAAACGACTGTATTTTCCCTCCTAAAATGAACTTTTCTTGGGCATATTTTTGCTTTCTGATGGCTAAAGGGTCACTGTCTTCAAAATGGGTTCATTTTTACGCATCTTAGTCTGTTATCTTGTACAGCTTGTTTAATTTGAATTAATAAAATCAGTGAACACACTCTGATTGAACGTGTACAGGTGTATGTTTGAGGTTGGCTTCTTTTGGACTTTTGCTTGGACTTGCAAATGAACTTGCTACATGTACCACCTCTTGTTAGAGTTTTGAAATACGCCTACCGTGTTTATGATGCATTTAAAGAAGTCAAATAAGCTCTGATTGGGAATGAATGCTTCAGTCTGTTCCGTTCGGGAAGAGGAGATGTTGATCAGTTAAGCAACATGATAGATCGTAATCATTTACCGTGAGAAATGTCTCCAAATGATCTTGCCACGTTCAACACGCTTCATTTATGATATAAGATGAATAAACGTCCCTAGCATCTAACATCATCCAAAAAGTGAGAAAAGCATGAAAAACGGGAAGAAAAATTATCGTGATCCATTTGGGGTACAAAAGGGGACAAATTATAATCCATTTGGGGTAAAAAAGAAGAAAACAATCGTAATCTGTTTGGGTCACAAACACGTATGCTTCCATCAATAGTTGACTGGGGTGCGAGTTGACTGGGGTACGAGTTGACTGGGGTACGAGTTGACTGGGGTACATGAATGAGAAACTCGGGTACGAGCTGACCCAAAATCATTGTCTTCCGTATATGGACTAGGTCTGGGGCTTGTCAATAATCAGTCTATTCATGGTACGTCTTGAACTGTGTGCCCTATCCTCGATCCTGCTAAAAAAAAAAGTAGTTCGATGGATTAAATATCGTAACTGGTAAAGCTAAAACTAATTTGTGATCGTCAATCATGTCGATACTGAAGAAACTAGGACCCTCACCATGCTCAATCACGCCATCTGATCATGTTTTTGAAAGTCTGCAAATTTAGTTATACCATGGAGGGGGCAACACCATTCATCCTTACCTTCAGTTCATACTTTTAACCGATCCGATTAAATTTTAACAACTGTGTGTCGTGTCCCGTGTTGGCAATCTACGAAAACGAAACACGCAACGCAACGCAACGTTCTCTTGTTGAACTTCATACACGTACATATACATTGTACATGTACATGTACATGTACGAAGTGCGGCCAGGGAAAACGAAAGCCCGGTGTCATGTGTTTGTTTACACGCGTACACTTTGTTAACAAACTTGTTACAGTCCTTTGTTAGTCACTGTAACGTATGGTTTCTTCTAAAACTTGACCAATCGTCACCTGAGTTGCAACTAATGACAGGACGGACTTGTACAAGTTTACGATGCTAAAAGTCCAAGTCAACAGTTTTGTTTCATAGTTCTTGTAAATGGCGGATTAAACTCGTGCAAAAGTCCAAACATGGCCCAGCAAAAGGTAACCGGGGAACGGCCTTTGCCTTTTCTCATATTTCAACATGTTAAAGTCATCATATTGAAAATCACGGATGAATTATCGAAGTTTAAGTCACCACATTAAGTAAAAAATTCCATACGATGTTTTAAACAGTCCTCTATCCCATATTTTTTTTAAATCAAAGGCTTTTCAAAATCATTTAACTGAACCATTCAACTAGAAGAAAGGGTGAAATTATTTCATTTTCTTAAAGCATTCACCTATAATTTGATTTTGAGGTTAAATTTATCCATTAATTTAAAAAACTGAAATAATTGAAAACAGTGATATTGTTCTCAGGATGTAAGGGTAAGTTTTAATTTCATGCAGTAGTTTTATTTATTTTCAGGGCAGCATTGTTGAAAATAATAATTTTATTGAAGCAAATGAGAAAAACGATTCATTTTCATTTTATTTCACAACTTCAGTAATAAAAGAATTTTAACATTTATTACAAATTAAGTAAATAATTAAGTAGATTAATCCTTTTTGTGCAAATTAATTTATAAAATTAAGCTAATTAATTACAAAACATTAGTTTCAAAGATAATGCATCCTAATTAATCTGTCCTATTCGTTTCAATGAGAACGGGGTGCAAAGTAAAACCTGCCAAAAGCCAAATTGGTAATAAATTATGCAAATGACTGTTCTTGGCTCATGACGTCACACAGCCAACAACAAGTAGTTTACAACAAGAAGACAGTGAAACTACGCCGACGAAAAATTACGGTGGCGTTCAAAAATGGACAAATTCCGGCCGCAGGTAAGTAGATTTCTCAATGAATTATTATGTCGGATATTCAGACTCACTAGCAATAATTTAGTGCTAATTCAGGGAATTGTTAAGGCTGTTTATGTACTTTTGGGGGTGATTTTTATTGCGAGTCTGGTCTGATCGAAGTTGGAAATGATGCGCAGGTTGACCTTTGCTATAGTGGTATTTCAAAGCACACACGTTCCATGTATGAGTCGTGTGAGTGTGCGTGCATTGTGTGTGCAGTGAAAAGCAATAAGAATGTAAATTACTTGCGCACCGCTTGCCTGCTGAAAATATTTCGCTGCAAATTAATAATGATCTTGTAATTAATGGCTTCTTTTCAGTGGCTGGGTGCCCCGGCCGGCCAGCATGGGCCCAACACATTCTACAAGGGTTGCAAATTCTTTAAAGACGGCAAGTGGCGAATCCTTTCGATGGGGGAATTTTTCTTCTTGAAAACTTCCGAGACGGAGCCACTTTGCATTGCCGAGCTGCAATTACTGTGGCAAGACGACAAGGCCGAAAACGGCGACGGCCTCATGTTGTCGAGTTCCAAATTATATTTTCTTCCCGAGGACACCCCGGAAGGCCGAACAATTCACCATGGAGAGGTGAGTTCAGCCCTTCGTATTTCTTGGTCTCAACTTTTTTGACTTTTTTAAATTTAATTTTCAAATGTGGCTTTGAGTTGTCTTTTTAATTTAGGGTGGGCATTTAAGTTAAAAACTTTTCAGCAAGTTTCACAACCATTGTGCTTATCAGTTGAGCGATGACACGCAAGCCTTCGTGCTATGCAAATTTGCATAAAAAAGGCAAACATCACTTGACGCACAAAAAGTCTTGTTTGTGGTGCCATGTCTCATGGAATCCAATATTGTTGCAGTTGGGTTTGTAAACTTGGTTTCCACAAGATTTATTTTTTTCAGAGAGAGATTTTGGTGCATGTTCTGTTTGATTTCGCACATACAGTGTACTGCCATTACTTTGTGTGTGTTTTTTGTGATGAAAGCATTTTTGTTATGGACATGTCCGAATCATTAATAACAATGGTGAGTGTCTGATCATGGAGGAATAAAAAGGAAATGGTGCAGTGACAGTTGAACCCACAGTTTATTTAAAGGTACATAGACGGTTCAGTGACTTCCATCAATAGGATTTCACCACAGCACACACAATGTGGTGGTTGCTTGCTAAAGGTGCTTTACTAATGGCATTCAAATAATTGAAGTAGTGAATGAATGTGTGTTTACATGTACATGTATACAGCCATGCTTAAACATACAGTCGCCTTTGGTGAAAGTCACCTAAAAGAAGACAATTCTGTGTTATTTCATTTTTGTTTGTTAATTCTTTTACTTGTTTATCAATTTGTGGGGTATATCATTTTTTGGCATTTGAAATCCTTTTTGTGTTGTACTGTAACCTTTAAAAAAATATTTTTGGAACAACTGATGTCTTGTGGAAAAATTTTGCTGAATTCTCTTGATGTATCTTCTGATAAGGAAGTTGTGCCATTATGGAGTTAGGCGGGTCAGCATGCCCACAGGAAGTGTTTACACATTTGTACATGTACCTGCGTCCAATTCCCTGAAGAATAAAGGAAGTGTGAATGTCATCCAAAAGTGTGACAATTTATACAATTTCAGGGTTACTGAAATTGTTCTAACCATTCATTTTACCGCGTGAAGTTATTTTTCCACTTTAAGGCCAAACTATCATATATTTAGCTCAGTGTTTTGTTTGAAAGGTAACAACATGTTTTATGCGTATGGCCTTGAATATTTATTTCTTCAACAGCAACTATCCAGATTACACAGTGTGTGCAAGCATGTGAATAAAACCTAACCTGTACAACATTATAATAGAATACCCGGCTCTTTGGAAACTGTTGTATCACAAAAGGGTGCCGGGCATAGCATGGGTTGGATGAATAATTCATCTAGCATAGCTGATTCTCTTAACTGCCTTTCGTGCCAGCACATGTTATTATTTGGACATGGAACAGCACCATATAAACTCTTTTCAATTGTTTATCAGAATTCTGTACTGTTGTGTATAAGCATTTACTTGCACTTTGTGCCCATTCCTGGTTTTTTTTCTTGGATCTAGGGAATTAAAAGCCCTCATAGAAATATTTTGAAATATTTTGAAACATTTCAAAGAACTTTGAATGATTTGTAAGTTGCACAGAAATATGTGTTTTAGGGAAAGATTTTTCACTAAACCAAATATTGTGAATTTGAAGCTTTCATTAACATAGTATTGATTTCTGATGTGTTAATTTGTTTTTTCCACAAAATCATTTAGTATTAAAAACCCTCCCTGACCATTTGGTTAAATATTTTTGACGTGGACTGTGAAAAGCAGTGAATCACTACCAAGTTATCCAGTGTATTCCTTCCTGTGTGACACATGCAAAAAAATTTGGTGCTGTGTTGATGAGGATACCTTGAATAGCAGTGAGCTTATTGATATTCAGACTTGCCCTGAAAGGCCCATTGTTTGCAGAGTTGGCCAAGCTGGGCCCCCGTTGTGCCAGCCTGGTGGGATTAGGTGGCTGGTTGGAAAGCCATACTTTTTCTGATTCAAGGTAATGAAAGATGGGTCATTGTGCACTGGTTACCGCTCCCTGAGTTCATAGCCCAGGTGGATTGGTGGATAGCCCCTTTCCCCTTAAAAAAAATGTCATCTGAAGGATTTCAATTCTGTGGTTAATCATATTCACATGGTCTCATTCGTCTTGCACTTTGCAGAAATATTAATGTCTCACGTCCAAAGTGCTGGTGAGATCACTTTTCCTTTCTAATGATATCATGTGAGATGAAAACAACAAAACATTATGATTGACGTTGTCATTTTTCAATGTGCTAATCATGTAGCCACCAGTTCTTCACCTTTCAGATTCAAAAGCATTTATAAAAAGCTTTCAAGTATTTAATGCCTTACTTTTAATTTGGAGTTTCAAGTGTAGATTTAAAGGAAGTTGAGTGAAACTTTTTGGCTCTTAAAAATGGCACACTGTTTTCCTCCAGAGAGTATCAGTAAGGAGAAGAGACAGGCTAAAGATTTCTGTGAAAACTTAAAATGTAGATTTTATGTCAAACTATAGAAATATACATGTATTGGTTTTGCTGGTATTTTGGCTATTAACATTGCATGGTTCTATCTTGATCTGTCCCCCTGTTGACTCAGCCACTGCCAACTCTATCATGACCAAGGATTATGCATTGAGTACACACTCACAGAAATTGGCAGGGGCATGGCACACAAGCCCTCCCCCCCCAGTCTAATGTCCCTGGATTGGAAGCTGTCCAAGAATTATTGCTGGTCATGAATATTCAGCAGATCATAGTCTGCCTTTGGGAGGTAGAATTGCATAGGCATATTGCAGCACAGGGCCTCCTGTGTTTGTGCTTCACTGCAGTGCCTCTTGCATTTGTGGTGCATTTTGCAACTCTGAACTCAAAGCCAGTTTTTTCCTGTGCCCTGTTTGGTTGGGGTTATTTTTTGGGGAATATGGGGTTTATTAACTTTTTTCCAGCAAATGAGTGACCCATAAGTAGATGTAGTTTCATATTCCTGTAATAAAAAGGTACTTTGGATATTTACTTTTTGTTTGAGCGTTGATTTAAAATTCATTGGTCGTTCTGCCATATATGGGAACACAGTGTTTTGATAGTGTAGTGTACATGTAGTTGAGTAATGCCAGATCTGCTTCCTGTTTGAAGGTTGTAAGCCCCATTGTGTAAATTGTGTTTATAATTGATGCACAGTTCCTCGCTGTACGCACTATAGCCTTTGACTTTTCTGTGTGTTGCCGCACTTTTTTCCAGACATAAAACCTTTTATGTACCTTTGAGGGATTTTGGAGGGGGGGCATGTGACTGACAGATTTCAGTGTATGGAATATTTTGTGTTCTTGTACCGGTGTGCCAAAAAAGAATTTGGAAGAATGTCACATAGATTCCATTTTTTTTTCTTTACCAGTGATGCATTTCCCGAGACCATATTACATCATGAAACGTTCTCTACATGTACATTTATATTATTTAGTGGAATTTTTCTTTTCTTTTTTTTTAAAATACGTCTTCCAAACAGTGGACTTGGGCTAGTTACATGTACATGTACAATTGTTTGTGTCTGTCTATGACTAGACACAAATATGTTTCACAAGAAAAAGCTTTTTCACTCTATGTTCACAGTTGAAACTGAATTTGAGTGGCTTTACAACCAAAGTGGGTGGTGCTGGTTGAAATCAGAGATAAATATATCCCCACTGCATATTGTGTATATCAGTATGTGTCCTGTGATGTTGAATTACATGTACATGTACCTCAAGGTCGGTTGGCAAAGGGGTGTTCCATTTTCTTGGAAGGGGAGCTGACAGTAATTATTTGGCCAACAGCAGTTTCCAGACCTGTCTTTCTTTAAATACTTCAGGGCACACAGATTAATTTGCAACAGATAGAACAGCCATTTCCTGCTAAATCTTGTTTGTGGTTCTTTTTGTCAAAATAAATTTCCCCTCAGGCTATATGGCATCATAAAAGCAGTAACTGTTTTTTTTTTCTCGCAATAATTTAATTGTTTATTTCCTAATTCAACAATACGTACCGGTAACTGTACGGAAGTTTGTGTTTGATGGTATACAGGATTAGTCGTTTCCTTACAGAATTTAATACGAAGTCTGTCTTGTCCCCTTTGGGACATCCTTGCTGTTGTATACATGTACATGACATGATACATGTACTTTCATTTCAAATAATACAAGAGTTGGTTAAATAACTTTTTTCTTTTAAATTTTTAAACACATTTTCACTGTAATTCCCCCAAGGAAAACTGTTCATGAATGTGTGTACAATACTAGAAGGACCACTGAAATTTTTTGTAGTGTAAATGTATTTTGTTGAGTTACATGTTGGATAAAACTTCAAACCTTTAAGCTTTCTGTCTTCATTTCAAATCCTGTGTACCACTGTGTAGCGATATTCTCGTGTCATAACACATTTTATTGTTGATTTTCTCTGAAGAAATGGAGAAAAAAATGAATGAAGCTGCTTGTTGATTCAAATTTCTCTGAGTCATTAAAAACTATTACAATTAAACTGCTTCGAATTTCCCCATTGCTGTTATCTCGCTACCCAGCTGAAATGACTCCATAAGTGATCACCTAAAATCAAATCAGAGAGTGGCAGTTCACAATAATGGGAAGGCGTTTAGAAGTGCCGCAGTGCAACGAAGGTCTCTGCAGTTGCCAGTTGTTCCATTCAGTTGAGCGGCTTCCATGAAAATGTGGGATTGTCATGCAAATAGGAGTGATTGGCCTCTTTCTGGGCCCCTCTTATAAACTGTTGCTTTTGTTGCACCGAGGAAACAACGCTTATTGCATCCCTAGCTCTTGTAAACTCACCAATGATAGCAAATCTGAAAGCACCATTTGTTAATGTTGTGTTCTTCATTATGTTACAAGCGTGACAGATGTCTGTTTTTGTTTTGTGTCCATAAATTTTGGGTAATAAGAAGTTGGAAGTTTAAGACGTAATACTTCCCATTTAAGTTTAAGAATAGTGAGGCATCAATTCTTTCAATTTTCTTTCTTAATAACTTTAAT